TGATAGAATTAGTTCAGAATTTCTGAATATTTTTCAAAGTATAGATAGCAGTTTTTTTCTTCACAGCAGTGAAAAATAGGTTTTTGAAAGTTACCAAATATTAACACTTGAGATAATAATACTTTCCTTGTATTTCATTCATATGGTGACTATTTTGTTTGTCTCTGATGACTTACAGTTTTTCCATAATCAAGATAATCAAGATCTGTGCATAAATTTTGTTTTTCTCATTGTTTTTATAATTCACTGTTCTTCGTTAATAGGATCGAACAGAGGCTGCAAACAAAATAATATGTACTATCAGAAGTAAGAGACCTCAGATGATCAAGAATATTGAGGCACTTTGTGATGCTTATATTATATTAGCAAACTTAGATGCCACTCAGTGGAAAACTCAGAGAAGTATGTTTGAAAGAATTAGTGTTGCTGCTCCTGTTTGACCTACACTGTTGTTCCTCAGTTTGCAGTTGTCACTAAAATCTCTTTATTTTTAAATATAGAAGGCATCAGTATTCCAGCAGACCAACCAATTACCAAACTTAAGAATTTAGAAGATGTTATTGTTCCTACTATGGAAATTAAGGTAATTTACCATTAATTCTTGATTTTTTTAATTAAGCTACTATATTAGATTGAACCTAATTAAAATAATATTTTTGTATATTCAAAAGTGGTTATATATTGAAAATTTTGTCGTTCACCCTAGAGATTGCATTGGATTGCATTAGATTCCCTTTGCTGAAGTCTTAAAATAAACAAAAGCGTCTACTTCCTTTTCCTTTTCCTTCTGTTTTACACCTTTTGCCTTCTGTTTTACACCTTTTGCCTTCTGTTTTACATCTTTTGAAGGTCTGTAGCTGCTATCTTCACTGGCCAGAAGAAGGACAATTTTCATATGCTTAAACCAAGACTAATTTTTTATTTAGAAAGAAAATTCCCCATTGTTTTTCCTTTAATTTTTTTAAAAAAGATTTGATATTTGATGGACTTTATCAGCTGTGATTAAGTATTGCAATATGTATTAAACTATGTGATCATGATACATCTAGGTATGTTATAATGATCTTTTTTTGCTAGACGCACCATGTTGACAGGGATATGTGTAATAATAAAGGTTATAGTTTAGAAAATGATCATGTTTGGTACATTGTAAATCTCTCCATTGAATTTGCACTTCAGTGCTTAGTACAGATTATCACTAAATTTGAACTATAGCTACATCATATGGATTAACTGATATCTTTCCAGCTATATCAGCTAAGTTAGTTAGCTGAATGTATCCTGAAAAATACCAGATTTAATCACTGTCATCAAGAAAAATCCTTGCTACTCTTTTCAAAATGTACGTGTTGTAAGGAATTTTGTTATTTCTTAGATGACTTAACATATGTAAGTAACAACACTTGGGTTCTGATTTTTCAGCAACTCTTTTCTAACTTGATGTGCCTTAGTTTTTTTAAAAGTATTTAGGAAAATAAATTTAATGTTATCTATATGTAATTTTTTAAAACTTTCCAATGTAATATGTTCTTTCATTAAACAGAAAGTAAAGTTATAGTTCTCAACCAACAGCACAGTGTCATTCGTTCTTTTTTAATCTTAAAATTACCATTTATAATTTATTTATGTTTAAATGCAAATAATGTATCTGACTTGTTTTCATAATTTTATACTTTTCATTAGGTGGATCCCACTGGAGAATATGGAAATCTAGTGACTGTTCAGTCATTTAAAACAGAATTTCGTTTAGCAGGAGGTTTAAATTTACCAAAAATAATAGATTGTGTAGGCTCTGATGGCAAGGAAAGGAGACAGCTTGTCAAGGTAAGAGTTCCCTTTGGATTGTAACCTTTAGAGTATTAATGACATCAACATTAAAAAAAAAAAAAAAAACCTCATTGGTATCATTTCTGCTTTATTTTTTGAATATATTTTTTTAATTGTAGTTGGACACAATACTTTTATTTTATTTATTTATTTTATGTGGTGCCAAGGATCAAACCCAGGGCCTCGCCCTGCAAGGCAAGTGCTGTACCGCTGAGCTACAACCCCACCCTTTTCTGCTTTATGTTAAATATTTATCTTGAATAATTACAAGTGAGAAAAACTTGTGAAATAAAAATGCACTATTTTTTAGAACCACAATGTGCTTTCTATTTTTTAAGTCTCTGAAAGACTATCATTATTATACAGTTGATTCAAGTAAAAGACTATACTTGTTAATATGCACAGACACAATGAGGTGAACAGTTAACTTGTTTGTTGTGAAAAAATCTTGTGGTAGTTGTGGCTTATTTCCATGATTAGGACAAGTTAAAGACCTTTGCCTCAGTATACTGGGCTTGGCACTGTGCCAGATGCAGTTGCATGAGAAAGGTACAACAGTATTCCTCCTTTTGTGTTTACTCAGGGGTTCTTTGGTCCCTGCTGGAGAACAGTGAAGAGATAAGTACTCCTCCACTTAGGTATTTTGCAGTGTGCCCACAGGTGGGGAAATTCAGTTAGTTTG